AATACTTTCTTATTATCAAACATCAAGATAATCGCAAATGACTATGAAATTAGATGCCACATATTCAAGCTTACAAGGTTTAATAGCCATCTAATTTTATTCACAGATGCCTGCATAATTGATTGCAAGTGAGCCATTGGATGCTCACCTACACAAAAAGTATTACAGCAGAGGCAGCATGAGGGGGAAGAATGGAGCAAGATGGTGGCCTCGGATTCTATCTTATACAGGTTCCTCTCCAGTATCAGACCAACACAAATTGATAACGGTAAATTGCGTTTTGTTTGGTGGTCGCTGATTCTTCTTGAATGTGACTTTATGTATTAACATGTTAAATGGTCAGTGTTGACTTTTCACCTTTTTGTTTTTTTATTAAACTTTTTTCATTATCATTATTCTTTTATGTTACATTTACAATTAAGGGTAACTTTGCTTTTCTTTAAGTTTGCAAAGGAAATTTAGATTTGAATCTCAGATAAAGTATTGGTTGAGAAGTTTACATCTATAGACAATGTATTTTAGTCAGTCCTATGAATATGGAACATTTTGGGAGTTTTGACAAATTTATTTAATCATTTCTTTTATCGATGAGCATTATTAAAAAATTCTTTTATGTCTTATATAACTTTCAGAAAGATGTAGAAAACACTTTACCGGAAGAACCAAGGAAATCAAGTAAGTGAAGTTAAATATAATGTTTGTTAGATTGCTTATTATCTGGGAAATTAAAGGGGAAAGTCAGGTACACCATGAAGAGATATGTACTGGAATATTAATATATAAATTTATTAATATATGAAGTTATTTAACCCAATGCCCCAGGGAAAATGCTGCATTCACTTTAGCACTGCTTAGTTAAATATCTCTGCACATAGATGGCTCTGCCAGTGTATAGCTGCAGAGGAGTCAATTAGTATCTTGTGACCTCACCTTTCCTTGATTTAGTAGGAAAAACACTATTTTTTACTAATGCTATTAGTATTGATACTGTTATTATTATTACAAACATTATAATTACTATATTGTTATTGACACTACTAACACCAGTATTAAATGCTAGGAAATATCAAGAATAAGAGAAAAGGGTAAAACAGATGAGAATTCTTGTAATTGGCTCATTGGTGGTGTAGTACTTGTGGAGCCATCTATATGTCCTAACAATTACCAGATTAAACACACAGTGGGCATGGCATGTACGCACATGCCATCCTTGTCAGCATGTGTTTAATGGTTAATATGCAATTACATGTATGTAATTTATACAAAATAAAGTTTATTATTATTATTATTATTATTATTATTATTACTGATGTATATGTATGTATATATATTCTCAAATGCATGTACATGCTAGACCTATTTGATGCATATTTACATCTATCTGTCTTGCGCTCTAGTTAGCATAATAAAAAGTAATATATATTGATTTATATTCCCCCCTTTTTCTTCCTCAGAATTTGGTGAACGACATGTTTTGATAACTCTGCTGTTCTTCGGATTTGCGGTTGTGTATGCCATGCGAGTCAACTTGTCTGTAGCCATAGTTGCCATGGTTAAGAATCGCCCTCATACCAAGAAAGTCTCACAGGAGTATGATGACACCTGCCCTCTTCCAGCAACTCAGAAATCAAAAGATGCAGCTATGGAGACAGTATGTACAGCCTGTTGTTTTGTGAATGTTAACCTAGTCACGCCAGTATGATGTCCTATGATGTTCTATCAAGTTGTGATAGACCACCCTTCACACAAGGATTAAATCTTGGCATCATGCACAGTTTAGGCTACTAAAATTTGTACATGCCAAACAGCTGTGTGCTTATTTGGCCCCTGGCTTCTTTTGTTAAGGAGAAATAGCCTTGCTAAATTTGCTTAAAGTCTCCTTTTAGTGTTATTACCCCAAAAAATATTTATGCCATAGCTAAAAACATAGAAAGTGGGGTAATTTTATGTTTACCGTGCTTCTGATTTTTCCCTCTTTAAGTTGACTCTACATGGACAGAGATGTGTTATGTGGTATTGGACTTGGGGCTCCTATCATGATTAGGTTGATGAGATTAAAAGAAAAAAAATAATTTTTAATGAGTTACTAATGTTTATTACTTTTATTTTTATGTGGTTATTTTAATTTTGTAACAGTTTTAAAACTAATCCTGTAAGACAAGGAAGCATGAAATTCTATATTGTGTCCCTTTAGGCTGGTTAATTTATGAGCAGTTTAGGAGTAACTGTTAGTAATTGTGATAAGCATGGATCTCTAATTCCAAATGCATTTTGATAATGTATGCTTATGATATATTTATAAATACACTATATATGGACAGTTTGTGTAATATCCTTTACTATTACCTTACATTTCTGATGTTATTACAGAATGGAGAGTTTGACTGGGATGAGCAGACTCAGGGAATGGTGCTTGGTTGTTTCTTCTACGGGTATCTTCTGACAAATTACATAGGCGGCAGATTAGCAGAGAGGTTCGGAGGGAGGCTGGTGTATGGTCTTGGCGTGACCCTCACAGCTGCCTTAACCGTCATCTCACCTTATGCCGCAAGACACTCAACCAGTGCTTTTGTCTTCATTAGAATACTTGAAGGAATGACAGAGGTGAGACTCCAAGGGTTTTCAAGGAACTTATAGATACCATAACCAGACAGATTTTAAAAATATTTGATATAATATTATGATTCAGTATTTCTAAAACTCATTTTGATACCTTTATTCCTTGTCATTTTTTTGTTTGGTGTGTCCCACAGGGTGTGACGTTTCCGGCAATGAATGTGATGATGTCGTATTGGATTCCACCTCAAGAAAGGGCACGCTCACTCACGCAAAGTGTTGGGGGTTTGTTCACTTGCTTTCTCTATTGTTCTGTTATGAATGGAGTAGATGAGTTTCAAAGATATTAGTGAAATGATGATCATAAGGGATATAATTAATTTTTGTGATCTATGCTATACTCATATCACCATCATCATTATCTTATTTCCAAGATGAGTCTCAATGCCTCTTGTTTTCAGGTTGCCAGTTCGGAACAGTGGTAACTCTCTCAATTAGTGGCTGGCTCTCGCAGACGGAATGGGGTTGGCCATCTGTGTTCTACTTGTTCGGCGTGCTTGGTCTAGTGTGGGGCTATTTCTGGTTCAGATATGCCTATGACTCTCCTGATCAGCACCCACGTATCACAGCAGCTGAGAAATTGTTCATCAAGCAGGGTATTGGAGACCATAGGAAGAGTGAGGTGAGTAAACTGCTCAAGATTGATGAAGCAGGATGGAAAAGTTTTTAATTTTATCTTCCTCCTCCTTTACTTTCTATGATAGAAATTGTAGGTTTATGTAGTAAATTTTGAATAATAACAATGCTTATAAAGATAGTTATGATATTAAGAAACCCAAAGAAAGAAATGAGAAGGAAAATCACATGAATGATTTTGTAAATGAAGATCCGAATCAACAGAGTCTTCCAGTCCCGTGGCACTCCATCCTGACCTCAACCCCCTTCGTGGTGGTCATGGTGACTCATGTAGGTAACAACTGGGGCTTCTACTGCCTGCTCACGGAACTCCCTACGTACCTGAAAAATATGCAGCATTATGACATGAAAGAGGTATGTGAACTTTATGTAGCTGTTTATTTATCTTGATTTTCATTCTCTCTCTCTCTCTCTCTCTTTTTCAGTGTTGTTTTCTATTTCTTTGTCACTTACACTCTCACTCTAAGTCTGTCTTCCTCTCCTGTTGCCTCTGTTTTCTCTCCTCTCCCTCCTGTGACTTTTCCTTCTTGATCTCTCTCCCCTTCCATCACAACCTTTCCTTATGTGGTACCTCACATGTGTATCTTTTAAATCAAAATCATAAGTGTGACCCTAATGTCTGTCTACCATGTGTATGTTATCACGTGGGATCTGAAGGGGAGTGTTATCTTACACTGTCTATATGATTCCCTTCTCTTCAGAATGGTGTTGTGTCAGCTTTACCTTATTTGCTGATGTGGATGTTTAGTTTAAGCTATTCAAGATACATGGATCATCTGCTGGAGAAACAGGTCTTATCAACAAGACAAATAAGAAGGCTGTCAATGATCATTGGTGAGGTTATATTTTGCTTATAGTATGTGTGAATGAGTACTGTAGTTTTGATTTACTATATAAGTAATTGTTTAGTCATTATCATCATCATCTTCAAGCTTCCAATACTGAATTTAGAAGAATACTCTGTGTATAAGTCATAGTGGGTCACCAGCATTGCTTCTTATCACTAATAGAATTATCTGAAATTACCCGATATATTTTCGTCTTCAGGGAACTACATTCCAATGATTGCTGTTTTGCTTGTGCCTTGGGCTGGTTGTGATGGCAGATTAGCTGTTGCGCTGATCTGCCTTGCTGTTGGAGCAACTGGTGCTACATTTTGTGGCTTCCATTGTGCATTTCAGGTAATTGGGGAACATGTGGAGTTTATGTGTATAAGTTTATGTGCATTTTATCATTATCTGCATACATACCCTTATTGTTTTATTTTTTGCTTTTAAATGTCAATTGTTCAGTTATATGACATCTTGGGAAGAATAAAGTATAAGTAGAGTGGAATGTAATCCATCTTTAAATATGCAGTGTTGTAGTGAAAAGATTGATATAAGAAAATTTCTTATGCAGGAACTAGCACCAAACTTTGCTGGTACTTTAACTGGAATATCCAACACACTGGCAACTATCCCAGGATTTTTAGCTCCTGAGGTTACAGGAGCCATAATCAATAACCAGGTATGGATCCTTGTAAAATGATATTTGTTTGAGAATAATCTGTATTCTTAAGTAGATTAGAATGTTAGTAGAGTAGAAATTGTTTGGGTTACGTGGTGCAGGATCATTTGTGATAATGTTTAGTCTAATAACTTTTCTTGTTTCTGTTAAGGATTATTCCCTAATTAAGCTTCATTGAAGATTGGCTGCAGATCTTATATCAATATGCATTAGATTATCATAATTAGCATTGAATTAGA